GGGTGGGTGGAGAGCCTCTGAACGGTGCCCGGGGGCTGCCTTGCTGGCCCACTCCAGCCTCGGACCGCTGTGAGCAGAGCCCCTCTCTGAAGCAGGCACTTCCAGCAGGGGCCTCTGCTGCTTGTTAATTTCCAGATAATTGAGAAAGTTGTGCTACTTTTTCCAGTTCTGTTCCTGACAGGCCTGACATGGAGGCACAGGGCTGGGTTTCCTGGGATTCGGGCAGGATTTGGAGTACAGGGCGGCCTCACCCCACCCCTGTGCTGTGTCCCCTGCCTGGCAGCTCTGCCCACACACCTTGGGTCTGTCCCTGACCCCGGGTTTCTGGAGACTGGCCTTGGGCATGCCAAAGGGGACGACCACTGGAGGGATTTGGCTTCAGGCCATAGGGCCCGCCCACCTTCCCACAGTCAGAGCGGCTACTGTAATGACAAACACTGCCCTGCGGTTACTCCACCCTCGAGAGCAGGGGAGGATGGGAAAACCCTTTATCGCGACAGCTCCAGCTTGAGTCCTGAGGGCAGTCTCTGCTGTCTGGGGTCATATGGGGTGCTTTCCCGTGGGGACACACCTGGGTTATGAGGTAGGGAGGGGTGAGCTCTGCTGGCTGTGGGAGCTGCCTGGGGCACTGCCCCTCACTCTGCCTCGGGGTCGCCATTGTTCCGTCCTGGTCCCCGGGCAGCAGTGAGGAAGGACTGGTGTTAGGGGTGTGGGATGTCCAGTCTGTGTGTGACAGCAGGCCCACCTCTGTGCTATCCACAAGGGTCCCATGCCCTCATCTGGGTTTTTGTTTTTTGTTTTTTGGGTTTTTTTTTAGAGATGGAGTCTTGCTCCATTGCCCAGGCTGGAGTGCGGTGGAACGATCTCGGCTAACTGCTACCTCCGCCTCCTGGATTCAAGCAATTCTCCTACCTCAGCCTCCTGAGTAACTGGGACTATAGGCGCCCACTACTATGCCCAGCTAATTTTGTATTTTTAGTAGAGACGGGGTTTCACCATGTTGGCCAGGCTGGTCTTAAACTCCTGACCTCAAGTGATCCACCTGCCTCGGCCTCCCAAAGTGCTGGGATTACAGGTGTGAGCCACCTTGCCCAGCCTTGCCTGGGTTTTGAGCTTGCCTCTGTGCGAGTCCAGCCTAGGGAGATGGCGTCAGCTCTCATTGGCCCTCCAGAGACATCATTTCTTCCTGTCCCTGGGGCTGGCAGTACTCACCTCCGGCCTCAGGAAATCCTCTCCTGCTGCTGCTCCCAGAGCTGGCCATCAGCTGGGCAGTCCAGCCCACCCTCACCGCTTCTGGGAGGCTGAGGCTTCAGGAGAGGAAGGGGCTATGTGCCTTTACACTGTGCAAGCTAGTTTTAGCCTGCTCTTGTCACTTTACTTTGTTGTAGCATTTTCTTGTATTACTTCAGTCTTTGGAAGAGGCCATGTAATAGCTGTAAGCTATCCTATTGAGGGGGTGTCATGTCTCACCAGTCCTCTAGAGTTGGTATTGATATTATGCTCCATGATTTACTGTCATAAATGCTGCAGCGGACACTGGTGAGCATCAAGCAGGGGAGGAGGGTGCTTAGGTCTCAGCTACCTGCTCTTTTGCAGTCTGATGTGTGACAGGGTTCCTTGGCTTTCTGAGCCTGGAGTTCTGCTGTCCCTGTCCCTAGATTCCCTTCCTGCTGCAGGGTGGGCTGAGGTTTAGCAGCCCCATTTCTTCCCTGGCCCTGTCCCTTCTGTGCCCCAAAGTGTGTGGGATAGGGCAGTGGTTGGTAAACTGGGTCTTGGTCTCTTCATGTGAAAAATGGGGCTAGGCCAGGCACGGTGGCTCACACCTGTAATCCCAGCACTTTGGGAGGCTGAGGCAGGTGGATCATCTGAGGTTGGGATTTCGAGACCAGCTTGACCTTTATGGTGAGACCCCATCTCTGCTAAAAATTTACAAAAATTAGCCAGGCTTGGTGTCATGCACCTGTAGACCCAGCTACTTGGGAAGCTGGGGCAGGAGAACGGCTTGAACCCAGGAGGTTGCAGTGAGCCGAGATAGCACCACTGCATTCCAGCCTGGGCAACAGAGCAAGACTCTGTCTCAAAAACAAAACAAAACAAAAAAAATGGCTAATGGTGAAGCCTGTTTTGCCAGATTGCTGTGTGCACAAAATAAGCACGTGGTCCTAGGGCCCCTGGCACTGGCCTGGCACCAAGGCTGTGCTGGGTACATGGGACTGCATCCCAGTCCTTGGCAGCAGAGGTCCGGGAGGCTGGACTGGGGTGGGGTGAGTTTCTATCCCATATACCCCAGCCAGAGCCTGCCCAGTGAGTGCTCCTCCCCCACCTACCAGCCTTTGGGGGCATCTTCCCTCATCCCCCAGCTACATCCCCATCCACACAGTGGGGCTTAGCTCCTGGGGCCTTGTTTCCAAAGCGGAAATGCCATTCTGGGAGGCACAGCCTTGGGGGGAGGGAATTTAAGTGGAAAAGGAGCAAATTTTTGAAATGCCTGTGTTGGAGCCTGTTCCCCTTGCTGCCTCCCGCTCACACCAGCAGCCCCACCCCCAGCGCTGCTCTAATCCCGCTCCTGGGGGAGGAGGGTCTCATCTTAGCCATCCACCTCCTCACTGCACCCTGCTCCTTGGCCAGCTAGGATGGAGCGGGGGCCAGCTCCCTTGAGGGCCAGGCCTTATGTGTTCCTGCTCATCCCTACAGGGACTGCTGCCTGGAGCCCCGCCTGCGGGCACTCCCTGCCCATGAGGCCTGTTTCCCTCCCCTCCCCACAGAAGTGGAGGCCCAGGGATAACCTGAGGCTCCTGAGGGTCCTGCTGGTTCAGACTTGCTCCCTGGGAAGCTGGTGTGCCAGCTAGGCTGAGGTGTGGGTGGCTGTACAGGGTCAGGGTGCAGGAGGGTTCGGGCACAGCTCTTGGGAACAAGCAGGAGGAGATGCTCCAGGCAGCCTCCCTGACAGCTGGCTCCTCTTCTGAGGTGGGGTGGGCTGTGCTGGGGAGACAGGGTGTTGGCTAGCTGTCCTGTTCCTCCCGAGGACTCTGGGTCACACTGTGTCCCATCCCATTGCACCTTCCTCACCCGCTGTGCTGAGAGTCCTGGCCAATGGTTCCCAAGCCAAATATTGAGGAAATGCAGATGTCCAGTTTTTAGGGGGGGTGGGACTCAGGAGTCTGTTTTTTAACAAGCACCCCAGAGGACCTGGGCTGTTTCAGCCCCTTCCTTTTCAGATGAGAAAGGAGCCCAAAGAGGGCAGAGGGCCTGCCAAGGCAGCACATCTGGCCAGGTGCTGCATCGGCATCGGCTGAGCCCTAGGTGTCAGGCAGAGGGGCAGCTGCAGGCCCGCCTGGGCTTGTGTCTTTCATAGGCCATGCTTGAGAATTCTCTGTGAAGCCGGGTCTATCCCGCCACTTTCCTGCTACCGGAGCTGCCTGATGGCATCCCCTTGCTCAGCCAGTGGCCCAGGATTGTTGACTGAAGGTCCTGTCTAGTCTGGAGTAGGCTTGGTCCTGTGATCTCCCTGCAGACTGTGCATCCCTGGCCTGGACCAGGGTCTCTGGCACCCTGGTTCTGCTGCATGGAGTGACAGTCACTGACCTGCAGCGGAGCAAGAGGCGACTCAGGAGAGCCAAGGTTGTCTCCACTCAGTTTCCCCCCGGGTTCCTTCTGTCTCCCTCATTCCCGGAATGCCACCTTCCTACCCCATGTCGCTGAAGCACGTGAGTTGGAGCAGGGCTCAGGAGGGTACTGGGCCCAGGTTTTAGGCTGAGCCCAGGAATGAGTAATGAGTGGAGGCAGATCAGCTGGAGGACCAGCCGGCGTCCCCAGATGTCGGCACAATGCAAGGAAAGGTCGGTGCTGCAGGTGAAAAGCGCTGGGTTGAGAGCTCGCCAGCCTCCCTGCTTGAGGCTTCATTTCCTGGGTCCTTCCTCACACGGTGGGTCCGCAGCCGGAGCTGTGGTGGTGGCGGTAATTCTTTTCCTGCAGACTGGGGCACGTCCCCACCCCTTTCTCTCTAGATTCAGATCTGAGTCCCACGGCCCATGGACACGCGATGAATGCCCAGGGGTTGGTTAGCGGGCAAGACAGAAGGCTTGCGGCCGCGTCTCGGCTCTGGAGGAGGGCAATCCGGGCAGCCTTCCCAGAAGTGGAGGCATTTGCGTAGGACTTCGGTGCGTTCTCGCCCTGGTGGAAGGCGGGGACGTACATTTGTTGGCAAAGCGGTGTCCTGCGTCCTAGGCTGGAAGCCCGGCCTGGGGCAGGGGCCTGGAGGGTAGGAAGTGGGGGCGGGGCGGGGCGGGGCGGGGGGCGGGCCCACTGGGCGGGCCTTTGCCCGCGCGTCTGCGCCCCCGACAGGGGGCTCATTTGCATGGAGAGCTGCGGCGGCCAATGGCCGCGTGCGGCCGGGCATGCTGGGATCGGGCTGGGCAGGCTGGGCCACGGCGGCGGGCGGAGCGCTGCTGGATCGGTTCTGGGCCGCCGAGGCGGCAGCTGCGCGGCGGTACTGGGGCAGCCGCTGCGCGCTCGGAGCACCGAGGGCACGCGGCCCGGGCAGCTCCGTGTGCGCCCTCTGGGGAGCTGAGGTTCCAGGCCCGCTGGACACCATGAACCACCTGGTGAGGGCGCCAGGAGGGGCGGGGCCGCGTCCCGGCTTCGAGGCGGCCGGCTCCCGGGCGGGCGCGGGCGGGAAGGGGTTAAACCAGTGGCATTTCCTGCCGGACCTGCGGAGCCTGGGAACTGCCGGCCGGGGTCCGCTGTCCCGGGACCTCCTTCCGCCCTGGCCGGGGAGGCGAGAGGCAGGAACCGCGGAGGCTCCGGAGCCTGCGCGCCTCGGGGGTGTTGGCGGGGCCGGAGGCAGGCTGGAGGGTTCCTAGGTCGGGAAAGTGGCTGGCGGAGCCCGCGCTCCCCTGTCGGCTCGCGCCGGCTGTGTCACCTTGAGCCTCTGCGCCCTGCCCCCGAGCCTCAGTTTCCTCGTCTGCGAGGAGGGGCCGGTGAGCCTCCGGCGGGTGGTCCTTCTGGTGTGGCGTGGGGACTGCCCACCGCTCGCAGAGAGGGAGGAGCTCCGGGGAACCGGGGCCGGGCGGGCCAGTGCTTGGCGCCGGCGGGGAAGGCTCGGCCGGAGCACCCGGGTTCGGTTAATGATTCACTCCGGCCGCCGGCGCCGGGTTCCGGGAGCGGAGCCGGGGTGGGGGCGGGCGCGCCGCGGGCTTGCCTCCCCACCCGCCGAGCGCCGTTGGAAGCCGGGTCCTGGCCACGGGAGTCCCTGCCGCACGCGAGAGTCGTGGGAGGGGGCCAGGGCCGGGTTCTGCAGTGTGGCTTCGGAGTCCATGGTTGAGGGACCCGAAGAGTTAGAGCAGGGATGGGGCTGCCGCTCGAGGGTCCGAGAGGCTGATCGGAGGGCCAAGGTGAGGGAGATGGGAAAGCTGAGATTTGCCGAGGAGTGCGGGGCGACGGGCTTACGATCTTAGGGCCTGGAAGATATTAGAGTTTCGAGTTCCAGACCGGGGACAGCAGCTCCATTTTCCAACTCGAGGCTCCCGTTCCCTCCTGAGAGCCCATGGTTTCCTTTCCCCCACCTCTCCCCGGCCCTGCCGCGGCTTTGGTCACCTTTGCAGAATGACCATGGGTTGATAACTTTCTTGCTGGATTCGGCCAGGTGAGATGTTTCCCATCACCCTGGGCCGGGTGACGCCCCCTCTTGTGCCCATTCCTTTCCCTTGATGGAGAGTTTGGGTGGTGGGGGCTGGCTAACCTGTGAGAGCAGGTGTTGGGGTGCCTGGAGAATCCAGGCCCAGGTACGGGGCTGGGGGGACTGTGGGCAAAGGAGCTTGGGGGAGGAGCTGTTGACACTTCCTCCTGGCACTGCTTGCCCGGGAGCTGGGTGGAGGCAGGGCCGGGCAGTCCCAGGTTCTGCCAGTAAAGTCACCTTGGGCTGGGGCAGGAGGCAGTAACGGCCTCTAGCCATTACTGTTTCTCTGAGCAGGAGGTGGAGCACTGTGGGCTGGTACCATGACCCCAGGTCTCAATGAGGGGTGGAAATAAGGACAGTGCCACTAGGGCCTCCTGTCTGTGCAGGAAGGGCCCTGAGGCAGCTCCTCAAGCCCCTCCCCCATTATACAGATGGTGCAAATGGGGACACTGAGGTACAGAGAGGCAGTCAGTTCTCCTCAGAACTGGATCCAGAACCTCGTCTCTTGTCATGGCCCCAGTGCAGCACCACATGTGGCCTCCGAATTCCTAGTCTGGGACTGGGGCTGCTCTGGTCCTTGGAGACCACCATGCTCTTTTGGGGTTGTCACCTTGGTAGGAGCCCTCTGGTTTCAAGGCTGTGCCTTTGTGGCCCTCTCCTGGCAGCTACTGTCCCTTTAGGAGGTTCCACCACCCTTTTCTCCTGAGCCTAGACAACTCCCTCTCTTGCCCCCAGAAGCCCATAGCCAGCTGAAGCAGCTAGAACCAACCAGCAGGGGAGGTGCATGCGCTCCAGGGGATCTTCTTGGAGGAGACAGTATTGGTGTCAGACTTGAAGTGTAGGGTTTGGGGTTGGGTGATAGGGGTATTTCTCCAGCAAAGACACTGGGCAGACCTCTTCCTCTGGGTCTTTCGGGGCCCCCAGATAAAAGGCTGCAAGGCGGTCTCCCTGTAAGAGGGTGGGGCTCTGTCCTCTGTCAGGCCCTTCCTGGCCCTCTGAGCACAGGAGAGGCCCTGGCTCCACCTGTGTCTTGCTGCCCTAACTTCCTCCCACCTCTAGGTGCTAGCCTGGGGCAGAAGGAGGGTGGGGTGGGGGTGGGTCCAGCCCCCTTGAAGACATAGCTGGGGCCGGAGGTGGGGGCTGCCCCTATTCTGGGCCTGGTGCTGTCCCCGAAGTCAGGGGTCAGCCTCACACTGAGCTCTCTGCCAAAATTCCTGGATCATAAGCATCCAGCCAGTCTGCCTGAGTGAACCCCGCTGATCCTGCCTGCAGGGGGCACAGGCCTGGGGGCTGCCAGCCATCTTCACTGTCCGTGGGATGTTTTGGGTTGCAGGTTCCATGTCCTGCAGCAGGAGGGCCCTCCCCGTGCCACCGCCTCTGCCCAGCCTCTTAGGGACACTGCCTGGGATGCTCTGGCAGGAGTGGGGGCTGGAGTGTGTTTCCAGCCCATAGCTGGCCCTGGGCATAAAGGCATCTGCTGTGGCATTGCAGCCAAGGCCAGGCTGTGCTCTGTGCTTGTGTCACTCTGTGCTTGTGTCAGGGAGCCCTTGGCAGTGGACACCCCACAGGTGGCTTTTTATTCCCTCCTGCTGCTGAGTGTCACACGTGGGGCCCAGGGCCTGAGAGCCTGCACGCCTTCCCTGCCTCAGCCTCTTTGAGGAGTCATGTCCTGAGGCCGGTAGAACAGGAGCCGTGCTCCCCAGAGTGGTTCTGGAACGTGGGCCCCGCACACAGGCTGTGTGGTCCGCCCAGACCCTTGCTTTCTGCCACCTGGGCACCCAGGACTTGAGCCCAGACCCCAGCCACCCAGTTGTCTGTGGGAATATTAGGAGAAGATGCCACTAAAGCTGGCAGGTCCTGGAGTTCCACCCAGGATGGGGACATGGGTGGGGGAAGAAATGCTGCCCCTCAGAGCCTGGGCCAGGGCCAAGTGGGATGATTGGGACCCACCTGGAGGGGTCCTGATGTGGTGTGTGGATGAGTAGAGCTGCGGGTGCAGATGGCCAGTGGGGCGCACACTCATTGGGCCTGCATCTGTTGGCCACGGGGGCTCTTTGGCACAAGCAAATAGAATGCCCCAGAAGTAAACTTGGCCCAAGTTTGTGACGGTTCTGGGTATGAAAGAAGCCAGTGTTTCCCAAGTGCCTGCTGTGCTGGGGCGGGTGCGCATGTGCACTGGGGGCATGGACAGGAGGGGTGGGGAAGGCCTGTGACATTTCCTCTCATGGTTTCCACAAACCCAGGCATCACCCAGCTCCACTGTATCTGAGCCCAGAGTTGGCCTCTGCTGCTTCTGGACTCAGTGACCCCCAGGCTGTTGGGGAACTTCTGAGCCTTGGTTTCCCTGTGTAGGGAGATGGAGGTAATCATGTCTTATAAGGTTGTTTCAGAGGTTAAATGAGCTGGTGGCTGTGCGGGAAAGAGCTCTGCCTCTGGCAGGGAGGAACTGTGCTGTTCTTGTTGTTGTGAACCTAGTGACAAGTGTGGCACTATTACTCGTTTCCTTGTCTGTCCCCACCCCAGGGTCTTGGAGACCAGGCGTTCCTCTGGCCATTTCTTCCCAGCTCCCACCTTGCACTGGCTTGCGGGTGCTGAGGTCACGTTTGCTGGGTGAAAGGGTGCAGGCCAGATGTGAGCCAGGCCTGGCAGAGGGGATTTTGGTCAGTGGTGTTGCCTGCAGTGTTCACTGCAGTTGGCTCAGGCTGGCCCTGCGCCTGAGAACTCCTGAGTTGTCTCTTCAGGCAACCAGGGAAGGTTCCTTGGAGCAGCAGCATCTCCTCTTACTACTCCCCAACTCCAGCTTCCCCACACCCAGAGTCAACATCTAGGGACAGCTACAGCACATCCAGGGCTCCCAAGGCAACTGGCAGAGCCGATGAGGAGACCCCAGCACCCATCCAAAGGCTGCAGCTCTCCCTGACGTGTGCCGCCTGCCTGGCCCGGGTGGATCTGGTGCCCAGGCGGACCCCAGGATACAATGAAGGCTGTTCTTAGAGCCAGGCAGAGCCTGTGGGGTGGTCCTGTCGGCTCCCATGTGCAACAGCTGGGATATTGTTTGGGGAGTGCTGGCATCAGGCTGGGGCTCTCCCCATCTGGCCCTGCCAAGCGAGCCCCTGAGTGCATTCCCGGGTTCCTCTGTGCATGCGCCCTGGAGCTGCCCTGCTGAAGAAGGTAGACTTGTCCTCCTGTCCTGGGTGCCTGGGGTCCAGGAGTGTGAATTGGGCTGTATCAAGACATGCTGGGCAGTACTGTGAGGTGAGGGCAGAGGAGAGGTGGTGTCCTAGGAGGAGCCTTCCTGGAGGGTATGATGGTCCAGCGTGTCCTGAAGTGGGAGTAGGGAGCTGCAGAGTGAGGTACCAGAGACTGGGAGAGTCAGGCAGCAGTGTCCACTATGCCTTGGACACAGGTGGCTGACAGTGTCCCCCTGGGCTGGCTTTGCACCCCATCTGAGGTCACAGTTGTGTGTGTCCCTTGAGAACTTGGGCAGGAGCACCTGATTGGCCCAGCTGGGGTCCTGCCCTAGGCCCAGCAGTGCAGGAGGCTGAGAAAGTAAGTCTGGGGAAGCTGGCCTCTCCCCCAGGTTGGAGGGTGGCACAGGTTCCTGGGGAGGCTGCTGGGGGTCCTGCGAGCATGTCCAGTGCTTGCGGTGGTGTGGGCTTTGCTTTTCTGGGCTTACTTGGCCATGGGAAGCTTGTTGTGTGGAAGACTGTCATTGAGCTGTGCCCGCATCATCCACGGAGTCTGCCCTGTGAGTCCTTCCCACCCCTCCAGGCTCACAGCCTGCGTCCCTGCTCCAGCCCCTGGCTGAGGCCCTTTGCCCCGTGTTCTTCCCAGACACAGTCCTGTGGAACATCATCTTCTTGGGGAGGCCGTCTCTGACCCTGTGTTCAGAGGCCTTCTCTCACATTATTTTTGGCACCCCCACTTTCTTCCCCATCAAAGCAAATTATTTGGTGTCTTTCTGTCCCACTATAGTATAAATCCTGTGTGGACAGAGGCCTTGTCCACTAGGCCTGCGCTACCTCTGCGGAGCCCCGCCAAAGCAGGGGCCTGACAAATCTTTTGTTAAAAGAACAGTGTGGCCAGGCAAGGTGGTTCACACCTGTAATCCCAATACTTTGGGAAGCTGAAGCTGGAGGATCACTTGAGCCCAGGAGTTTGAGACCAGCCTAGGCAAGATAAGGAGACCCCATCTCTACACAAAAAAAATTAGCTGGGCTGGTGGTGCTGCTTGGGAGACTGAGGTGGGAGGATCGCTTGAGTCTGAGAGGTGGTTGCATTGAGAGCCACAGTCACAGTACTGGACGATAGAGCAAGACCCTGTCTAAAGAAAAAGAACAATTTTATGAAACCAGGGCTGTCATCATCCAGCAGAGAGGATCTAGGTGCTCAGAGAGTCTAGGGGATTTGCCCAAGGTCCCACAGCCGGGCCCAGGTCTGAGTCTTAGCTGCTGGTTAGCGAGGAGGAAGGAGTGTGCATCCTTGGGGACAGACAGGGAGGCAGAGAGCCCCAGAAAGGCGGGTCCCTGGCCAGCTGTAGCGGTCAGTTGTGTACCAGCAGTGTCCAGAGCTCAGGCTGGCAGGGGGGTGGGGGGACACAGCAGCTGACGCAGGCCGGGGAGCTTCTGGTGCCAGGCGCTCAGTGCCACGTGCCCAGCCTGTGAGGTGCTTCCCAGCCTGGCTCCAGCGGCCCCAGACTGGGCTGTGGCCTGTCATTGAGCTCATGCTGGGAGGGGTTGGGCCTCGAGGGCAGAGGCCCCAGCCGCTCACCTGGGCCAGGCTTCCCCTCCCTGCAAGGCCTTTCCCTCCGCAGAGCCGCCACCCTCCCTGCCTGTGCTCCCACAGCCTCCCTGAGTGCCCAGCCCTGCCTGGCGGGGCCTCTGCCAGCCTTCCCTGGGCCGCCCTCCTAAGAGGTGAGGGGCCTCCTCGGGGCAGTCCCCTCTGTCCACACCCCCACCTTCTCTGACTTGGCTAGAGGGGAATTTTCCTGTGACTCACTCTGCTGGCACTTCCTGTGGTCACCAGGGCAGGGGCTGGGGGACCCGGTGGTGGGCTGCTCCGTGGTGTGCAGGGTCACTGGGGGAGGGTGGCCCGCCCCCTGATGGGCTGTGATTCCCAAAGGCAGGCTGCAGACCATATTTGGGAAATGCTTGTCTTGCTGGCAGCCTAGGATGGGGGCCCTGAGCCCGGGTGGGCTGCAGGAGAGCCTCTGCTCCTCCCACTCCTCTGTGGGGCTCTGGCCCCTCGACCCGCCGCAGTGCCTGTCCCATCCTGCCTGAGACTGGGACACAGTCCACTGATTTCTTTCTGTGTATTTTTTCAGCCCAAAGCAAGAAACACTCATTCCTGAAAAACAGGAAGAGAAAGTGTCCCCATTGTCTCACGCATCTCGATCCCGTCCTCATCCTCTCTCGTCTTTACATTTCACAGGACGTTTTCTTGAGGCATGTTTTTGACTCGAGTACCTTTTTCATTTCTATGATCGTGGTATGGATGGTGCTGCTGTGATCTGGGGCCTCTGCCCTTGTGCCCACCTTGGCTCCAGTGTGACTCCACCTGGGCCTGCCCTCCTGAGCTGCCCCCGGCACCTCCCACGGGCCTTGCTCCTCCTGGCTCCCTACTGTCCAGCCTCTGGCTCTTTTAGGGGCTGGAGGCTCCAAGCTGCTCTGGAGAAATGGGCTCCCAGCTGATGTTACCCAACCGGGGCAAATGAGCAGCGGGGTTTGAACATCTGCCCCTGGGACCTGGGGCACCCACTGCCTGCCCGGGCTGCTGTCTGGTGTGACTTCGCCCTCTTTCCCCCATGCCGGCCAGGGAGGCGGCGCTCAGAGGGGTGCTGTCCAGCCCCTGCTGGTAAAGGGGAGGAGGGTGGGCCCTTGGGACTTGGAAGAGGCCTCACCCCTCTCCTCAGCCCCAAGGCCCAGGCTCCTGCTTCCTGTTTCTGCCCAAGGGGGCGTGGCCCTTCCTTGTTTCACTCCTTGCAGATGGAGTTCAGAAAATGGGACTTGGACCCAAGTGGGGATGGTCACACAGCTACTGGCTGGCCAGAACCAAGGTCCCATTTCCGAGTCAGAATCTACATGAGACTGCACATCTCAGATCCCAGGAGACTCTGAGGAGGGTCCTTGCAGGGCAGCCCAGAGCTGAGGCCAGGCTGGTGGGGCGGCTGGAACCCAGTGTGGGTCACCGCTCAGCTGGCCTGGCACTGTCCTCAGACCCAGCTTCCCTGTGTGTGAAGTCTGGGGCCCCTGTGGAACCCATGCAGCCCTCTGCTACCCTAGGAGCGGCTGCAGCCCTGGCCTTGTCTCACCCCCTGCCTTCCTCACACCTACCTTTTACTGGAACCAACCACACTCTCCAGCTGGGGACCCCCCTGTCCCTGGGCCCCTCCTGCGCCTGGCACCTGGATGGGGCAGCAGGGGCAAGGATGCACGAGTGTGGCAGCAAACTTCGAGGCCTCCCTGCTCGGGCTCTTGTGTGCCAGCGAGGCTCCGAGCCTGCCCTTGCCATGACCCTCCTGCCTCTGATCCCACAGCCTCTTCCAAGTCCCTCTTGGGCTGCTTGGCTCCTGTGCCACGTGGAGCATGTGCCCTGCCCCGGGAGAGTTTGCTGAGGGTGATGGGGCTGGACAGGGAGGGTGCACCTCCTGCTTCCCTCCCAGCCTTACGGAAGGTGTTTGAGATTTCTAAGTTACTGACTTTGGTAGATTTTGGGTAGATGGACTTTGTTAAGAGGTTGCCTCTCATTTTTGTTCAGTTTTTATTCTAAGAAGTTGTCCTTTTTGCTAAATTATGTTCTTTTGTCTCAAGAGAGAACCATTACAATTTCTTTTCACTTGGCAGCACTGTTGTTATTAACCGCTGCTCTCCCCGTGTTAGTCCAGGGAGTGGCCTTGGGTGGGGCTTTTAGGGATATCTTGAGGGTCATCCCTGGAGTTTTGGTGGTGGCAGTGGTCAAGAGGATTTTGTGGTGTTATACAGGTGAAGTTGAAAGGCCAGGATCACCTGGGCCTTTTTGCTGGGAAAGGTAGGGAGAGTGGAGGCAAAGACACAGTGATCTCACCAAACTCCACCAAGTTCCTTTCCCACTAGCAAAGCCAGGTGCCTCCCCAGAGTGGGGCGGGAGCTGGGGAGCCCCCTGACATCCCATGCACATCTCACACCTGTGTCTTCTCTCCCCAGAACGTACTGGCCAAAGCCCTCTATGACAACGTGGCCGAGTCCCCGGATGAGCTGTCCTTTCGCAAGGGCGACATCATGACGGTGCTGGAGCAGGACACGCAGGGCCTGGACGGCTGGTGGCTCTGCTCGCTGCACGGGCGCCAGGGCATCGTGCCCGGGAACCGCCTCAAGATCTTAGTGGGCATGTACGATAAGAAGCCAGCAGGGCCTGGGCCCGGTCCTCCTGCTGCCCCTGCCCAGCCCCAGCCCGGCCTCCCACAAAGCCTCCATGCCCCAGCACCTCCGACCTCCCAGTACACGCCCATGCTCCCCGCCACCTACCAGCCCCAGCCTGACAGCGTCTACCTGGTGCCCACCCCGAGCAAGACTCAGCAAGGCCTCTACCAAGCCCCTGGCCCCAGCCCTCAGTTCCAGTCACCCCCAGCCAAGCAGACATCTACCTTCTCGAAGCAGACGCCCCATCACCCATTTCCCAGCCCGGCCACAGACCTGTACCAGGTGCCCCCAGGGCCTGGAGGCCCTGCCCAGGACATTTACCAGGTGCCACCTTCTGCTGGGATGGGGCATGACATCTACCAGGTTCCCCCGTCCATGGACACCCGCAGCTGGGAGGGCACAAAGCCTCCAGCAAAGGTAAGGCCATCCTGGTTCAGTCATTCAGCCCTCACAGGTGTAGCCCAGGCCATGGTTTCTGGGTGCAGGTCAAGGTGGGAGATGAGTGTTTGGGGAGTGTTCATTTGTCTGGGGAAGGTGGATGTGAACGGGCCCAGGCAGGAGACGCCCTGCTGGCATCTCACCACAGGGAGCAGTCTGTCGAGGCATTCCAGGGGCAGGTGGAGCTTGGCACATGGGGTCAGCAGTCGCTGGGTCCCCGTGGGGGAGAGCCCATCCACCTCATGCCCAGCTGCCCTGTGCCCTCTGGGTTTATGTGTCAGCCTCTGGATGGGGTTCTGCCACAGCTTCTGGCTGCCCCTGCCTCTGTGGGCCAACCCCTTTCCACTTCTGGGGCATGCTAGGAGCCAGTGGGTGCTTATGGTAATCTGGGTGTGACTCCTGGACCCACCCAGGGAGGACGCTGCCCCTGAGATTGCTAGAGGAGGGCTGCTTGGAGAGCCTCCTGGGCTCTTGCTGTGAGATGCTGGGCCTGGGAACGAGACCTCTGGCTTCTAGGCCCTAAGCCCGCTCCCCGAGTCCACAGGCCCCTGACTTCCAAGCTCACCTGCCTGTAGGAAGGAGGTGGCTGGAGAGGGTGGCAAGATCCACTCGCTGTGGCAGGAGCAACCTTTTCTCACCTTTGATTGGCCGTTCCACTGTGCCACAGCCCCCTCAAGAACTGGGTTGTGGAGTTTCCAGGCCTGGAAGCGGAGGAGATGTCCCGGGTCTCTCGTCTTCTCCTGCCTGCTACTTCTTACGGCACACCAGGAGGACCTGAGAAACCCAGCCCGTGCTGCCATCTCAGCACTCCCGAGGGACGTAGCAGCCCCGGCTCTGTGGGGTCAGCTTTCCAGGACGCAGCCCAAGCCTTGTGTTTTTCTATGTCCCGTCTAGAGCCACCTGTGTCTGGAGAGACAGTGGCCAAGTGGACACTCAGCCCAGGGCTGAGGTAGAGACCTCATTGGTGCCAGCTGGGCATCGTGTCAGCAGGAAGTCACCCCCACCCCCGCCCATGGGTGGCCTGCACCCAGGAGTCCTGGTGGGAGGTCATTGGCAGGTGGGACTCCATGGACATGGGCCACCAAGCCTGGCCACTAGGGGAGCATGGGTCACTGGCTCCCGCTTCCTGCTCTACCTGCTCCTAGCCATCTCTCCAGAGACGAGCCTGGCTGGTGCAGGGCTGCCTGGGTGAGGCTGCTCCAGAACTGGCTTTAGCAAGAGGAGCAGGGTCCTGTTATCCTCTGGGAAGGTGGCAGGGGGCAGTGCCCTGTGGGGGAGCCTCAGGCCGTGGCCCACGCACACTTAAGACCCCGCATAGATGCCTACCTGCACCCCACCTTTGCAGACGCGTGTGCATGGACACATGCCTGTGCATGCTTCATGTTTACGAACACGCACATAGCTGCATCCCAGCTCCCACAAGTGGACACATGTATATGCCCACACATGCGCACATCACATGCATGAACACATGCACACCCCAACCCACATGTACAAATACAAGTGTACGCCCACATATACAAAGCATGTTCACCCATCGGTATCCCACAAACATGTACAAATGCATGTGCATATGTACACACAAGACACAATCCATACTCCACATGCCCGAGGCCAGTCACATCCCCTCCTCCCCTCCTCTACCTTGGCAGTGAAGCTTGTCCTGGTGCGGGTGGGAGGCTGGGGCGGGCAGTGGAAGCCCTGTGGGCCGAGCAGCAGCAGCGAGACCGCTGGACCTAGCCTGGCCTCCAGCCTGTGTTTTCGTAGCTGTTCTGTTTCCCCCTCCGGCAAGAGGCCTGCTCTCATTTTTGTCAGGGGCTCAACCAGCTGGGTCTTTCTCTGCCCAGACCCATTGCTAGAGCTGCCCAGTCCTGTGCCCCAAGGCCTGGACCTGGCTGGTGGCCCAGGAAGAAGAGCCCTTCGTCCTGGGCCCAGTTGTTCTTCCCCAGGAAACCTTCAGTCTTGATTGTGTCTGCTTGTATTTTATGATCACAAAAGCAATGCTTATTTGCTATAGAAAATGCATAATGTATGAAGAAGTCAGGAGACGAAATTTTCTAATCAGGGGGTAATCACTGGGAAATTCTGGCATGTTTTGTCTAGCAGCTTCCCTGTGTTTCACAGATGTGTACACGTGGTTTTGCATTTCAAAGTTGTAAATCCAACATTAGATACCAAAAGTATTTTGTTGTCCAGATGAAGTGGCTCACAGCTGTAATCCCAGCACTTTAGGAGTTTGAGATGGACAGATCAGGAGCTCAGGAGTTCAAGACCAGCCTGGCAAGCATGGTGAAACCCCGTCTATACTAATAATACAAAATGGGCGACGCCCATTTTGCAGAAGTGGGAGGCCAGTCACTGAGCTGTAGGGTGGGAGCCCACCTTTTCCCCTTCCCCTGACGACTGCCTCTTGTGCCTTGACGGGAGGCAGGGATGTGTTCCTGAGTTCACTGGTCTCCCTGGCTTGATTCCTCATTCTAGGGGAAGAGAGAGGCAGCAGGACACAGCCCTGGCCCTGGCAGGGCCCCGCACTGCCTGGCTCTTTTGTGTGCACCTGGCAGTGGCCGTGTGCTGCGTTTTCTCTGCATTGTATGAGGTGTGTGAGTGAGTGTCAGAGACCGTGTGGGTCTTTTGTCAGGGTCTGTGTCCTGTCCCCTCCTCCTGGGCTCTGGCTGTGTTCCCAGAACCCCCGGGGGCTCCAGGGCCTGCTAGTGGGGTCTCAGGTGTGCTGCAGGGTGGTCTGTGATTAGCAGCTGGCCTCAGTCATTCCCCTATCCCCCTGGTGGCTGACTTGCTCTGTTTTTCTAACGGAAACATTTGGTCACTGTGGCTGCCTGCTGCCACCCGACTCAGCTGCAGGAGTGACAGGCGGCCATTTGCCTGGGGAAGCCTGGTCCAGCTACACTCCTGAGCCTCATCGCCTGAGGGTGGGATGGAGGGTGCTCACTCCTGTTGGTGCTGGGTCCTGGCTGGGTCCCCACCTGCTTTCAGGAGACTGGGAGGCCTAGAGAAGCCTCAGGCCCTGCCTCGAGGCCCAGCCAACCTGCCACGTCCCTCTGCCCCGCCTGCCCCACTGTTGGCAGGTCCCTGAATCTAAAAATAGCTCTGGAGGAGACTCAAGTCTGGGGCGCGTGGAGGGAGATGAGTCTGGAGAGGCGGCCGCCAAATCTACTCCTAGACGCGCTGGAGCAGGGCGGGGCCACCCCAAGGAGGGCCCCCAGCCTGCCAGGCTCTGCTGCCAGGAGCACTGGAGGCCCAGTGGACCCAGCATTACTGCCCAGTTCTGCTGCACTGCAAGAGGCTCTGCCAGGTCTGGGGATGTCGGGCACCTCCGCCACCCCCATGCCCAGTGCACCCTTATAGCAACCTCAGCCAGCAGAGCTGGCTGCCTGCCTGCATTGGGAGGGCCTCGTGGGATTCATGGGCACTGGTCCCAAGGGAGGGACTGCTTTGGTGCTGCTGCCCCCAGGGATGTGCGGGGAGGCCCCAAGTCCACCCTGTCCCACACGTCCCCTTTGAGGAGGGAACAAAAGGCTTTTCTTCGGAGAGAGCTGAACAGGGAGCCTAGTGCTGGAGTTGTATGGGCAAGGTGTGCCCAGGGGCTAGAGAATCTCACCAGGGAGGCCTCGTCCTCCTCAAGGCAAGGAGGCCTTTGGGAAAGAAGGCTGCCTGGCGTCACCCCCACCCGCTTCAGGCCGGTGCTGGTGAGGGGCAGCGTGGCCCTGGGCTTGCCCCTGTGCTGCCTGCCTCTGCACTGTTCAGGCCTTGGCCTCTCTGGGCTCTGGGCCAGGGTAAGAGCACCTGGAGAGGGGAGGGCTGGCCCTGGACCTGCCTCCCCTGCTGAGCCTCCTCATTTCAGGTCACCAGTGGTCTTACTTGCTGCAGGCAGCTCCCCGGGACAGGTGCGGTGGGGAGGAGGCCTTGGTTCCAGCTGCTGCGCTGCCCCCAGCACATACCCAACCTGCCCCTCTGGCCCTGTCCTCCAGAGTCTCCGCACTCTGTGCTATGGGGGAAGGGGGCTGGAGGGGCTGTGGCTCTGTCTGGTCCTGGGCTGGGCGCAGTCCCCTGCTGGGCCAACCTTTCTGGGGAGGCTACAGCTGGGTGGTGTGGACAGCAGGCTCCGAGGCCTCCGCTGTGGCCTTTTATCCTGCCAGGCTGGGCACCCCAGTAACGGGGGTCTTTGCCTGTGGGTAGTGCCTTCCAGAGCCAGGGTCCCAGCCCCTTACCTTGCCGGCGTCATCCCCTCCCCTCCACGTCATGCTCCGCTGTGGAGCCTTATAGGTCAACCGGCTGTAGAGACGTTGGTGGCCTGGCCCAGGACCTGGCAGCTCTTAATAAAACCCAGGGGTCTTGCTGTACCCGGTACTGCTTTCCACTGGAGGAAGGTCAGCGGATGCAGAGGCAGTGAGGACCGGTGCCTACCACCGGGTGTGCCCTGCCCACCTCCCAAAAGAACGAGGCTCCCAGTTGTGAGTGGAGCCTCCCTGAAGACTCAAGTGATCCCGAGGGCAGGTTTGAGGGCAGCTGTGAAGTTGGCTCTCTGTCCCCAGGTTGTGGTGCCCACCCGTGTGGGGCAGGGCTATGTATATGAAGCCTCACAGCCGGAGCAGGACGAGTATGACATCCCGCGACACCTGCTGGCCCCGGGGCCCCAGGACATCTACGATGTGCCCCCAGTTCGGGGGCTGCTTCCCAGCCAGTACGGCCAGGAGGTAGGTGTGTGGTGTGTGGCTGGTGGAGAGTGGGGTGGCAAGTCTGTGCCTCTGCTCGGCCCTGGGCAGGGAACTGCATCTTCTCAGCCCTAGCCAAGCCTGGAGGCCGTATTGCAGGGTTTCCCCCTTTTCCATTCCCCCAAGTGGCCCTAGCGCCATTAACCCTGCACTGTTTCTGCCCCCAGGTATATGACACACCCCCCATGGCCGTCAAGGGTCCCAATGGCCGAGCCCCGTTGCTGGAGGTGTATGACGTGCCCCCCAGCGTGGAGAAGGGCCTGCCGCTGTCCAGCCACCACGCGGTGAGCCAATGCCAGGGCCAGGCTGAGGGGTGGTGTCAGGGTGTGTACACTGGGGTGACAGTCAATGTCTGCAGGGCTGGAGGGCCCTGGCCAGGAAGAGACTGGTTTCAGGCCTTGTTCTGCCCCTCACTGGATCATTGACAGATGAGGAAACCGAGCTCTCTTCTGAGACTCAGATTCTTCGTCTGCAGAGGCCTTCTCTGTGAGTCCCTGAGAGAGTCTGCAAAGTGACCACGGGGTGTGTCATCTCATCCGGGATACTTTGAAGAGTGAAGGGGGTACTAGTAATTATGCGGGAGCATCAAGGACAAACCGGGACTGTCCTGGGCAAACCATAATTGGTCTCCCTGATAATTCACACAGCTCAGCCACACACCTGCTGCAGAGCAGAAAATTTACACGTGGTGGTGGTGGCAGTGGGTGGTAACAGTGATGGTGGTGATGAAATCATGATACAGTGGTGGTTGCAGTGCAGTATGACAGTTGACCTTTCAGTGAGTGTCTGCAGTGACAGTTGTGTGCATTAACACGTGGAATTATTTGGGAGGAAGCTCTCCCACCTTCAGGCAAGCAGACAGGCACAGGAGCTCATCCTGGAGCTGTCATGGGTAGGAATCCTGAAGGATGTATGCACCAGGGCTGCGTGTGTGGGGGGCGTGGGGAGGCTGGGTGCTGCCCCCAGCCCTTGGGGTGGCAGATGGACGGACGGACGGACAGCCTTGATCACCAATTGTCCCCCAGGTCTACGACGTTCCTCCATCAGTGAGCAAGGACGTGCCCGATGGCCCGCTACTGCGTGAGGAAACCTACGATGTGCCCCCGGCCTTCGCCAAGGCCAAGCCCTTTGATCCAACCCGCACCCCGCTGGTCCTGGCTGCGCCCCCTGTAGACTCCCCGCCGGCTGAGGACGTGTATGACGTGCCACCCCCAGCTCCTGACCTCTACGACGTGCCCCCTGGCTTGCGGCGGCCTGGCCCAGGCACCGTGTACGATGTGCCCCGTGAACGGGTCCTTCCTCCTGAGGTGACCGACGGTGGTGCGCCTGACGACGGTGTGTATGCGGTGCCTCCCCCAGCTGAGCGTGAGGCCCCAGCGGACGGCAAGCGCCTATCGGCCTCCAGCACCGGTAGCACACGCAGCAGCCAGTCCGCGTCCTCCTTAGAGGTGGCGGGGCCGGGCCGAGAACCCCTGGAGTTAGAAGTCGCTGTGGAGGCCCTGGCTCGGCTGCAGCAGGGTGTGAGCGCCACCGTTGCCCACCTCCTGGACCTGGCAGGCAGCGCCGGTGGGACCAGAAGCTGGCGCAGCACCCCTGAGCCACAGGAGCCACTGGTACAGGAGCTGCGGGCCGCCGTGGCCGCCGTCCAGAGTGCTGTTCATGAGCTGTTGGAGTTTGCCCGCAGCGCTGTTGGCAATGCTGCCCACACATCTGACCGTGCCCTGCACGCCAAGCTTAGCCGGCAACTGCAGAAGATGGAGGATGTGCACCAGACACTGGTGGCACATGGTCAGGCTCTTGACACTGGCCGGGGAGGCCTGGGAGCCACCCCTGAAGACCTGGACCGGCTGGTGGCTTGTTCGCGGGCCGTGCCCGAGGACGCCAAGCAGCTGGCTTCCTTCCTGCACGGCAATGCCTCGTTGCTCTTCAGACGGACCAAGGCCCCTGCCCCGGGGCCCGAGGGGGGTGGCACCCTGCATCCGAACCCCACTGACAAGGCCAGCAGCATCCAGTCACGGCCCCTGCCCTCACCCCCTAAGTTCACCTCCCAGGACTCGCCGGATGGGCAATACGAGAACAGCGAGGGTGGCTGGATGGAGGACTATGACTACGTCCACCTGCAGGTGGGTGCCGCCTGCCCAGCCCCGGCTCCGCCTCTGCCCCACTCCTCCTCCCCAACTCGGGGCTCCTGTGCTCAGGGGGAGATGTTTTCCTAGCTGGAGCCTGGTCCTTGGCAAGGCCCTGCACCCTCCAACCTTCCTCACTCCACATCACCCCTAAGGGCCAGCATGGCCATGTCATTGAGTTCTGCTTTCAGCCCCTTGGGCTGGTGTCTCTGGTGACCAGCAGCGGTGGCTCTGTTCCTTGTGAGGAGACAGACCTGCAGCAATGTGCATACACAGAAAGATGCTCCAAGGGTGGGGGCTCAGGGGGAGGCGACGGGAGGTAGCTGGGGCTGCTCCTCCCAGGCCAGGCCCTGGAGCAGAGACCTGGGTGCCAGCTGGGCGAGAGTCCCAGTAAGAAGCATTCCAGGCTGAGCTGGGCCAGAGAGGCATCCTGAGGCAGGGAGCAGGTGGCCAAGCCTTTAGGCCAAAGGGGAGGGGTTGGGTTTGGTTTCTGGTGTGGGAGCCTGGGCAGGCAGGGTGGAGCATGCAGTGTGGTCTTTCTCGGGTGCCCCGCCTTGTGCCCAGCCTCCTCCTGGCCTGGCAGACGGTGAAAGGGACGGCCAGCACTGCTTCCTGGGAAGCCACCTTCTCCGTGTGTGTCACGGCATATGCCAGTCTAGAGGTGTGTCCCACATATGTCAGCCTGGAGAAGGGTGTGTGTGTCTGCCTCCACATGTGTGTGTGTCTGTGTGTGTGTGTGCCTGGGGTGGGGGGGGGGTGGGGGTGGGGTGTGTGTGTGTGTGTGTGTGTGTGTGTGTGTGTGTGTTTATGCACGCATAGTACCACCTAGTGGCCACTCAGTTCTCTGCACCTCACGGGGCTGGCCTCCGCCTGGGCCTCAGTGCAGCCCCTGTGTCTTCCCTCCAGGGGAAGGAAGAGTTTGAGAAGACCCAGAAGGAGCTGCTGGAAAAGGGCAGCATCACACGGCAGGGCAAGAGCCAGCTGGAGCTGCAGCAGGTGAGGCTCCAGCCCTGAGCATCTTCATCTTTTCATTTGGTTTAAAGTTTTCAAGAGTAACTGTTGGAGACATTTAAAGAGTGAGAGAGTGAGGTGAGAGCAGAAAACAGACCCCTCACAGCTGGCACAGGCTTGGCGTGGGGCTGGCTCTGCCCTGCTCCCTTCTTCACGCTGCTGCTTGCGTGTCCAGGAGAGTGTCCTGTGGGCATTCGATTCTTCTGTCCCAGAATCTGCCATGGCATGAAGCATTCTTCATGGATTCTTTCGAAGACCAGATAACATTTATTTAATGTTTATGTTGTGTCTGTACTTCCTTAGTGTTATTTTATCTTTTGAGACAGAGTCTTGCTCTGTCGCACAGACTAGAGTACAGAGGTGCGATCTCTACTCACTGCAGCCTCAGACTTGTGAGCATCTGGGCTCAAGTGATTCTTCTGCCCCAACCCCCCAAGTAGTTAGGATTATAGGTGCCCACCACCCCACCTGGCTGATTTTTGTATTTTTGGTAGAGATGAGGTTTCACCACGTTGCCCAGGCTGATCTGAAACTCTTGGGCTCTAATGATCCACCTGCCTTGGCCTCTCAAAGTGCTGAGGTTAATTAAAGTGTGAGCCGCTGCCTTTGGTCCCTTATTATAAATATACTGCTATGTCTATATGCAGACATATCAGTAGAAATTTTTTTTCATATTTAGAAACATTTCCGAAGGGCAGAAAAGGGATATTTTTAAAAATACTAAGGGAGCTTTATTCTGGTTATGAAGATAATTTTAAAAGTGAAAATACAGGATAGCACAAAGTGAACATAAAACTATTACCCGTCAAAACTCCCTTGCCCACCATCTGGGCCTGGAGGAGGTGGCAGAGCGGAGGTCCTGAGACCCACACCCCACGGCACTTCCCCAGCTGAGGCTGCCGCCACGTCATCAGAGCACAGTGAGACTCAGTAAAGAGTGGAAGCTGCTCGGAAAGTGCCTGGCATGTAGAGAACACTCAGAAAAGGTCCTCTGAGAAATGGGCAGGGTAGGGTTGAGAAATTACCTAATGGGTACAGTGTACGCTGGGTGGTGGCCACACTAAATGCCCAGACTTTCCTACCAGTGTACCCACATAATAAAACTGTACCTGTACCCCTCTGCTAAATCTATTAAAGTAAAACAGGAAAAGAATAAATGTCACACCTGTAATTCTAACACTTTGGGAGGCTGAGGCAGGAAGATCACTTGAGGCCAAGGGTTTGAGACCAGCCAGGCCATATAGTGAGACCCAAGTCTCTACATACTAAAAATTGTGGCCAGACACGGTAGCTCACACCTGTAATCCCAACACTTTGGGAGACCAAGGTGAGCAGATCACTTGAGGCCAGGAGTTTGAGACCAGCCTGGCCAATATGGTGAAAGTCAATCTCTACTAAAAATACAAAAATTAGCCTGGCATGGTATCACATACCTGTAATCCCAGCTGCTTGTGAGGCTGAGGTGGGAGAATCGCCTGAACCCGGGAGGCGGAAGTTGCAGTGAACCAAGATCACGTTTCAGCCTGGGCAACAGAGCAAGACTCCATCTCAAAAAAAAAAAAAAAAAAAAAAAAAAAATTGCCTGGATGACAGCAAGACTCCATCTTTATAAAAATAGTTTTGGGGCCGGGCACGGTGGCTCAAGCCTGTAATCCCAGCACTTTGGGAGGCCGAGGCGGGTGGATCACGAGGTCAAGAGATCGAGACCATCCTGGTCAACATGGTGAAACCCTGTCTCTACTAAAAATACAAAAAATTAGCTGGGCATGGTGGCGCGTGCCTGTAATCCCTGCTACTCAGGAGGCTGAGGCAGGAGAATCGCCTGAACCCAGGAGGCAGAGGTTGTGGTGAGCCGACATCACGCCATTGCACTCCAGCCTGGGTAACAAGAGCGAAACTCCATCTCAAAAAAAAAAAAAAAAAAAAAAAAAAATAGTTTTGGGGAAAAAAAAGACCCACCAGAGCTTGTCTCCTGTACTCTGTTGGGGCTCAAGTGATCTGCCTGCCTCGGCCTCCTGAGGTGCTGGGATCACAGACAAGAGCCATGTCGCCTGCCTCACCAGAGCTTTTAAAAGAAAAAAGCTGAGTATATTCTCTCACTGGCTAAGAGAACCAAGAGATGAAGGATTTCACCAAGTAGCTGCCTCAGGGACAGTGCAAGGTTCTGAGTTAGGAAGGGGAGGTTTCCTGTTGGTTTGGCTCATTCTGGCTTGGAGCTTTGGGCATAGGGTGGGACACAGCTTGCCTGTCCTGAGTCTAGGTACAGCTGGGCACTCCGGGGCCAGAGCAGCTCCACTGATTGTCTAACCGTAATGCCTTCTGCGAGCTCCTAGGCACAGGCAGCTGTGAGGTGAAGTGTTCACTTTCATGTGTAGCTCTGGAAGATGATTTAGCTGAGGTGGTATTTAGGGGCGTCAGATTACAGGTGACATCTTCCTTTTTTCTGTTTGGTATATTTGAATCGTTGTAATGTGTATGTTACTTTTGAACTAAGGAGAAATTTTGTTTAACTTTCCATTTCGAAATATTTATAGATTCACAGGAAGTTGCAAAGATAGAGTCAAGGGGTCCCCAGTGCCCTTGAGTCGGTTTCCCCAGTGCCACGTCAAGTCACATGGGACAGGACCCAAGCCAGGATGGTGACACTCACACCCCCAGCCCCAGGCAGCCACTCTTCTGTTGTCCATCTTGTCATTTCAAAATGTTCAGTGCACAGAGTCTGACCTTTTGAGATTGGTGGAACGGTAACGGAACGGCCTGCAGAAGGCTCATCGTGGTTCCTGGTCCCTTCCCCAGGATAGCAGACCGCCCATCCCCGCAGTTCCATATACTCCGAGTAGCAGCCCTTTTTAGAGAAGTGCAGATCTTGGCCTGTGGTTCCGACTCGCTCAGGAGCCTAACCCTGCTCCTGCTTCCCTCCCGACCCAGCTGAAGCAGTTTGAACGCCTGGAACAGGAGGTGTCGCGGCCCATAGACCATGACCTGGCCAACTGGACTCCGGCCCAGCCCCTGGCCCCAGGGCGGACAGGCAGCCTGGGGCCCTCGGACCGGCAGCTGCTGCTCTTCTATCTGGAACAGTGTGAGGCCAACCTGACCACGCTGACCAATGCCGTAGACGCCTTCTTCACTGCTGTGGCCACCAACCAGCCACCCAAGATCTTCGTGGCGCATAGCAAGTTCGTCATCCTCAGCGCCCACAAGCTGGTATTCATCGGGGACACCCTGTCTCGGCAGGCCAAGGCGGCTGACGTGCGCAGCCAGGTGACCCACTACAGCAACCTGCTGTGTGACCTCCTGCGCGGCATCGTGGCCACCACAAAGGCCGCTGCCCTGCAGTACCCATCACCTTCTGCTGCCCAGGACATGGTGGAGAGGGTCAAGGAGCTGGGCCACAGCACCCAGCAGTTCCGCCGTGTCCTGGGCCAGCTGGCAGCCGCCTGAGGGCAGTGACCCCCCAATGGGGGCAGGGGAAGGGTGTGGCGGCCCCAGCTCCCCGGCCCCCATCTCAAGAGTAGCTGTGCCGCAGGCTTGGGGACAGGACCCCAGCTCTGCCTCGGGCCTGGCGCTCCGTATGCCCAGGATCTGTATATATTTATGGTTGGGCAGGGCATGGGGCCGTGCCCCCTCAGAGCAGCCAAAGCCCGGGGGCCGACCAGGGGCCTTCCCCGTTGTGTACTGCAGGACCTTGTGCCACCCAAGGGCTGAGCCTGGTCCCCAGAGGGTGCCCTGTGGCCTGACGGGGCCAGTGCAGTTGGTGTGTTCCTCCGCCTCACCAGGAGAAGACCCTGAAGAACTATTTTTCATTATTGATTTTCCAATCATTTGACTAATAGTCTCCATTTAAATAAAGTTTTTAAAATGAAGAACAGCTGCCTGAGGGTACCAGATGAGGGCAGCCTGGGGCGGGTGATGGTTCAGGGAAGGCACTTGGGGGCAAGGGCCACTCATGAGAATTCCCAGGAGGGCGGAGGAGAGGTGGGTCCCTCCAGAAGAAAACTTAAGGGGCACCGAGGCCAGGCGTCTCCTGCAGGGAGCGAGTTCTGTGGCTGGCCACAAGGCCCTGGGAGCCAGGGCAGAGCCTGTGCCTGAGAGGAGTTGGGGGCAGTTTCAGAGCTGCAGGGTCTAGGGCCTCGAAGGCACAGCTTGGGCGTGGCCCCTTCGAGTCCTGGGACGTGCCACAGTGAGCACCTCCCGTGCCTACATCCAGCATCTGGAGCTATGGCAGGTGGGGCAGGACCAGAGGCAGGAGGGGAATTATGGGTTCCCATGAGCTGAGGGCACCACAGGGGGCTGCATCCGGAGCTGTGTTTAAAATAATCTCATCCCAGCCTGTGCAACTCCCGAAGCACAGTGCTGGAATGATACATGGACTGGCCTCCCAAGTTGGGAGAGCAGGGCCCAGAGAAGGCCCTTGCCCTGGGCAAGTGTGTCTCCCCGGTGGCTCCCCCACCAGCAGCCCACAGCCCACATGGAGGCTCCAGGGTGCCTGGAAGCCCTGGTGCTCCTCCCAACCCTGACAACTCCGCATATGAATGTGGACCTTGGTTTCCCCATCTGTACCAAGAAGTGGGTAGGGCTGATCCTCCTGATCCACCTCCACAGAGGGGGCCTCCTGACAGCATCCATCTCACGGCACACTTAGCCCACCTGCCTGGCTGAGGACACAAGTAAAGGTGTGTGCAGTTGCTCTCCGTGTCTTTATTTGTGTTTTACACAGGTGTGGGGTAGGAAGGGTCTCAGCCTCCATACCTTCCCAGGAATGAGCATCCAGGCCCAGTGAGGACGGGAGGTGCTGGCGGTGCTCCACAACACGATGCCCTCCGGGCTCCAGGATCGGTCCTGGCAGGCAAGGGCTGCTGGAGTCACCCTGTGGGAAGGAGAGGAGGTGTCTCCAGGACTGAACTGGTGCCGGGGCCTAGGGGACCCAGACCTGGCGCGGTCCAGGGAAGAGTGCAGAGCAGTGGCAAGGGTAGGTGCAGGGAGTCCTGAGGTCTGGGTGAACGTGGCAGCCCCAGCTCTGCCATCCCCCTTGGAGGAAACCAGGGCAAGTGGCTTCCACCCGTGCTGGGGCGCTGTCTGTCCCATGAGCTGACCCTTCCAGCTCAGAGGGCTTGGGAGAGGAGGAAGTCTCCAGGGCAGCGTCACCTGCCTGGTTCAGGAAGCTGTGAGCTGAGGCTTGGCCCTTTTTAGTCACAGGGAGGAGGGCAGAGAGGAATGGGAAGCCCAGGCTTCCATCAGAGGGCTGGAGAATCCTGGGTATACGTTGAGTAAGGAACAGGGCTGGGCTGGACAGGTGGAGTCTATGGAGATTGATGGGGAATGTCCTGTGGCAGGTGGTGATATTTAATGATTATCTTTCCACGTTTTTCTGTAATGAGCAGAACTTAATTTATAATGGAAGACAGCTGTCAGGACGCTTGCAGCAGCTTTAGTACTTGGGAAGGAGAAGAAAAGCGGGCCCAAGTTGGGGAGGCAGGTGCCCATAGGCCCTGGCAGCCAAGGGTGCAGGCGAGGCCCAAGCCAGCTGGGTGGGGTCCCCTGCACCTACTCACCTCCTTACCCAGAGGCCAGTGTGTCCCATCGTGGCCTCATGAGCCACCTCCTCTGCCTGCCTGCGTGGCCTTGCCTCAGCCATCATCAGGACTGGGACGGACTCTGGGTGAGCCAAGCTTAGACTCCTCAGCCACCGCACGGTGGCTTTTCCTTGAGAGAGAGGGTGGGTGACAGTGCTTGGGCTTGTGGGGGTGCCCAGGAAGTGAACCAGTCGGGGTGAGCCCTGCTTGGCCACTGAATCCCATGCAGCAGCTAGCTGAAAACATGGAAAGGCATCGCTTTCTCACTCAGGGTCCCAGTTTCCCTTGCACAGTGAGGGCGTGGGACCCCCCCCAGGTTTCCCCAAGCTGCGGTCCTGGTGGCCTGAGGATGTATGGAGTTGTAGGTGGGGTGCGCAGCCCGGGGTGGGCGTCTCCTGCAGAAGCGCTGGCTCTGCCTGTGGCCGGCGGATGGGGGCGCTGCTTCTCCAGCCTGCGGTTTGTTTCTGACCATTCTCTTGCTGGTTGCAGCGTGTAGTTGGGGTTGGGAAGGGGTCAGCTTCATTCCCTGACACCTGGGGGGGCCCCAACTGCTCAAGCCTCACCTGACCCCACAGTGGGCAGCAGTGACCACCCAGTCCTCGCTGATGAGGGAGCCCCCACAGAATTGGAAGTCAGTTTTGTTCTGGGAGGACAGAAGGGCAGGCAACTCCCACAAGGGTGGGGGGTGACCTGAGGGGTGAGGGCCATGTAATCCTAGCACATTGGGAGGCTGAGGCAGTAGGATCACTTGAGGCCAAGAGTTCAAGACCAGCTAGGCCACATAGTGAGACCCAAGTTTCTATTTATATATTAATAAAAATTGTTTTAAACCTCCCCCTGCCTCCAGCCAGGCCACCACCCAGGCATGGGCAGGCTCCCCCTCCAATCTGCAGGGACACCTGCCAGGCCCGAGAGCTGGGGATGGCACCCTCCCCGTTGACATCCTGGATAGGCTGTTGAGCACAGGGTAAATGGTGGGCACCCCACAGCTGGGGTTGCTAGGGTTGAGGCAGCTCACCTGCAGTTGATGGTGTCCTGAGGTGCCCGGGTGAAGAGCCCCCACCCCCCTGCCGGCATCCAGAGTGCTGGCTATTGCAGTGCCCTCAGCCACCTCCCCTGACCCACTGTGCACCTAAGAGCCCAGGGTGCTGGGACATGTGGCTGGATTCCCTGGGGCCCTGTGCTCCCATGGGCTCTGAGTCAATGGCTGTGGTGGATTGGGGTGTGGGGCCTGGGGACACAAACCTGGGAGGCCACCCAAGTCTAGAGGGTGCAGGGGTTGGGGTGGGTGTGGGCAAAAGGCATGGATTTGGGAGACCTTCAGGAGGCAGAATTCAAGGTGTGGAGGGCCTGAGGGTGCGGGGGCTGAGGGAGGGAAGAAACAGATGCCCCAAGCACGGCCCGGGGTGGGGGGCAAGGGGCCTGAGAGGACAGGGGGACCGGCAGGATGTGAGGAGGAAGGGGAGGAGGATCTGGCCACGGAGGATGTGGTCCTCCCAACATGACATGGCATGGTTTGGCTTTTTGCTTCTGGGCATTTGGGGCTGGAGATGGGCGGGTTTGACCTGTGGCTCCCGGCCTACCTAAGCCCCTCACTTAGAGTCAGTGCCAGAGAGAGGGAAGCCCAGTGATCCAGAGAAAGGCCTTGGGTACCCGGGGTTCCCCTCCTGTCCCTGAGCCCACCAATCACTGCCCACCTCGCCAATGCCCCCTCATCACCCATCCTTGGGCTGATAGTTCTCCTGGCACCAGCATATGTCTGGTAGCCCTTCCCTGGAGCTGCAGGTATGTGGGGCCGGAGTGAGCTTGTCCTCGGGCTTCCGACCCCCTCCTGCAGGGCCCTGAGCAAGGGAGCAAGGGTGGGTGGTAAGAACCCTGCTGCCTGGGGGCAGGTGCTGAGGATGGGGCCAAGGTCCACCCAGGCCCGACCAGCCAGAGCCCCTGTCCGTCTCTGTACCCTGTCATCTGCCTGTGTGTTCCTGGCCACTTTCAGGGATGCAGGAGCCCAAATGGTGGGGAAGGGGCCTAGGGAAGGGTCCTCCCAGAGGCTCCCCATGCCTGGCTGGCCTGGCCCAATCCAGCCCAGGAAGGGCCCAAGTTCAGGAGTGGAGTGAGGCCTTGGAGGCCCCAAAACAGGAGGCAGCCAGCACTGACGTGTGCACCATGGGTTTATTGAGGCTCTATGGGGAGCAGGGTCTGAGGGAGCTGCGGGCTTAGTTGGCGGCCAGGATCTCCTGCACCCAGGGCATGAGCTTGGTGACACGGGCGTAGACACCAGGGCTGGAGGTGGAGCAGGTCCCGCTGCCCCAGGACACGATGCCCACCAGGGTCCAGGCCCCGTCCTTCTGGCAGACCAGGGGACCGCCGGAGTCGCCCTGTGGGAGAAGGAGAGGGGGGCTCGGATCTGGTAGCCCAGGCAGACTGGTCCCAAGGGCCACTGGACATTGTTCCCAGAGCCCAGTCCAGGACCCCACATGCAGCAGAGGCTCAGCACATGCTGTCACATGGGTTAGGAAAGACTCCAGCAGCTGCTTGCGTGTTTCGTGTCCCTGGAAGCCTGAGTGAACTCCGAGATGGGACCCTTTAGTGCAGGCGTCCCCAGACTTTTTACACAGGGGGCCAGTTTACTGTCTCTCAGACCATTGGAGGGCCGCCACATACTGTGCTCCTGTCACTGACCACCAAAGAAAGAGGTGCCCCTTCCTGAAGTGCGGTGGGGGGCCGGATAAATGGCCTCAGGGGGCCGCATGCAGCCCGCAGGCCGTAGTCTGGGGACGCCTGCTTTAGTGGAAGCTCAGTAACGCTGGATTGACCAATAGGAAGAACATGGTGGGGCTGGCCAAGGGGTCTGTGTGAGGGGGAGGGCTGCTGAGTCTGCTATCCTGCCGGGTCCACTGTCCAGGTTGTGCACTGCACAACTCCAAGAGCCAGATGCTCTGATATTGACCATGCAATTTTGCAACAAGGTGACTCTGTGATACCAGGAAGGAGTGAGGTTAGATGAGGGCACAGAGGGGTGGAAAGCCCAGGCCTCCCCAGCACCCCTCTGGCCTGGCAGGGTCTGGGCAAGGCCTGCCTCACCATGCAGGAGGAGACACCACTGGCCCCGGCGCAGACCATCACGTCGGTGATCTTGCTGCCCCAGAACTTCTTGCAGTCGGCGTTGGACAGGAGGGGCAGGGCCGCCTGCTGCAGCTTGTCAGGGGTCTTGTTGGCTGCAGGACAGAAGGGTCAAGGCCCCTGGCCCCACCCAGCCCAGCAAGGAGGGAGAGACCCGGGGCCCGACACGCCTGTCCTCCCCTGCACCATTGCCACGTGGGCACAGCCCCTGGAGGCTGAGAAGCACCTGGGAGACGAGGGGGTGCTGGCTCTGCCCAGGTGGGAGCCCCGAGCTCTGACTCCAGGCAGGTCAGCCAGAGCAGGGCTCACATGGCCGTGCGCCACTGAGAAGCCCCTGTAGAGGCTCCTCATGATCTGGCCTGGATTTTATTTGCATTTGGGGGATTTTAAGTTGAGAGGATTTTCAATAAAGAAAGGACAGTTAGGAGCATGTTGGTATTCAGAGCCAAACAAGAAGAGCCAAACGGTAACGGCAGGGACTCCACGGCAACGCAGCCCCGGCCCCAAGGCAGCCCCAAGGTGGCCCCGAGGCCCTCACCGTTGTACTTGGTCTTGCCCCAGCCGGTGGTGGCGCACAGGGTCCCTGCAGGGAAGTCGTCGGCGGCGCTGGGCAGGCACACGGCTGACACTGTCTCAGAGAAGCGGGCGGGCGTGGCCAGCTTCAGCAGGGTGATGTCATTGCGCACGGTCAGCATGCTGAATTTGGGGTTCTTGAAGACCTGGGGGTGGGGGCCAGAGCGCCAGAGTGAGACCCCAGGAGGAGGCGGGACCTGCAGGCTTCAAGGACACAGACTCCTTCCCTGGAGGCCGTTCGGGAGCAGTCCATACCTAGGGCTGGAATGGGAGCCTCGACGCTGGCCCCGCCCCGCTAGGCACCTGTCCCTGACGCAGCCAAAGGGTCCCCCCTCCCTGTGCCTGCCACCCCTGCTCTCTGCTCTGCCGGGCCTGGGTACCTTGGCGATCTTCAGAACTTGGATGTTCTCCTCATCAGAGCCCTGGTCAAACTCCCCGGCCACGACCACATGGGAGGTGCTGGACAGAGTATAGCGGGTGAGAGGAAGAACGTGCCCTGCTCCCCCCACCCCCACTGGGGCTAGAAGCAGAGCCCCAGGCTGCCGGCCCTCACCTGACCCCACAGTGGGCGGCGGTGACCACCCAGTCCTCGCTGATGAGGGAGCCGCCGCAAAAGTGGAAGCCGGTTTTGTCCTGGGAGGAAGAAGGGGAGGGTCGGCAACTCCCACCTGCGGCACCCCCCAGCCTGGCCGCCACCCAGGGTGCCCCCTGCCTTGCAGAACCCCCACTTACCTGCAGGGACACCTGCCAGGGCCAGGAGCCTGGGACAGCATCCTCCCCATTGACAATCCTGGAAAGGCCGCTGAGCACTGGTTGGATGGCAGGGACCCCGCAGCCTAGGGGGGGGTGTGGGGTGAGGGGTGGGTACCCACCTCCAGGCTGGCGGTCCTAAAGCTCCAGCTTCCTCTCACTCCCAGCTCTTTTCCAGTCTCTGGGATCTAGACTGGCTCCCCGGTCCCCTCCTCTGAGAAGCTGGCCCTGGCTCTCCCCTCGCCAGCGCTGGAATCCTCGGGGACAACCAAGTCCGACGTACTGGGCTGTGGGCTGCTAAGGAAAGGGGTGTTGACCCCACCTCAATTCAGAGAAGCCACACGGGTGGAGCGTGTGGTTTTGGCGGCCTCATGTTCAGGCTGGGAGGCCAGACTCTGCGTTTGAACCTGGTTCCCTCCCTGTCCAGCTAAGCCACTCTGTCCCCATCAGCAAAGTGGGAATCGCACAGTTTCTGACCTCACAGGTTTGGTAGAGTGAGCAGGCAGTGCGCCAGCTCCATGCCTGGCAGGAGGGACTCTGCGCAGTTGAAGAGGGCAAGGCTTGAGGTGCTGAAAGGTTTGGACTGAATGGTGCCAAGCCACAGCTGCCCACACACTCACCACCCAAGCTGTGCGGGAGCCACTGACTGTTCAGGAAGTTTTCTGACGACCTCAGGGCAGGCTGCAGATGCCCGCCTCCTACCCAGGGAGCTTCAGGTCAGATGGGGGTGGCGAAGGGGAGCAGCACTCCGCAGCTCCCGAGCTCCGAGGTGGCAGCTGAGCCTGGGAGGGGGCCTGTGCCCTGGTCCAGGCCTCGAAGTGCCCGCTGCAGAGACAGGGCTGGGGACTTGCCCAGGCCCACGCTGGGGTGTGTAGCTGAGCTGGAAGCTGGGACCCCACTGCCCCTGGCTGGCGTCGGGGCTGGGAGTGAGGGGACAACCTTCGGCCTCCACAGGGCCCGGCACTCACCAAAAGTGGTGCCCAGGAGGGCACAGCAGGAGAGGAGCCAGAGGAAAGCCATGGTGCCGTGGGGTGTGGGCCACATGTCCAAGGGCCTCTGTTATAGCCCTGTGCGCCGCTGTTATCTGGAGACCTTGGGGCGATAATCCCCTCCCTGGGAGTGGGCAGGATGTGCCAGTGCAGGGCTGGCCAGGGAGCCTGGGACAGCAGCAGCTGGGGCCCGGCTGACTTGGAGCTCACTCAGGTGGCCTTTGATCACGGCCTTCCTCCTCCAGACCCGGGCCCGGGCGCACACCTCCAGGGGCCGAGTCCAGCAGCCCTGTGTTTGCGCCCCAGCGCAGTCTCTTGTGGTCTGGAAAGAACTCACTGGATCTTTTGGTGGTTTGAAAACCCCTGAGTAGTGTGGCCAAATAGAGGAGAGGATTGGGGAGGAGGACCGTGCCCCATGGTGCGGCCAGAGGCTGGGGTGCGGGGGCTCCACCCGGGTCCTGGGAGTGGCTAAGAAGGCTCAGTGAAGGCCCAGACGACATCTGTGCTTGTCACTTGGGCTGTGTGCATGGGAGCAGGGAGCTGGGAGCAGGACCTGCCTGCTGTCCTCACACTGGGCTACCCGTGCACACAGGTGCCAGTGTGCCTGGGCCCTGGAGCCGAGCACATGGCATCTCAGGGCAAGCCTGGGCCCAGGGATAGGTGGTGGGGTGGCCTGGCATGGCTCTGATGAGAACTGATGGCGGCTGAACCTCTGGGCAGAGTGTGGGCAGGGACACCTGGCTCCTGGTGTGGGTGACAGCGTGGGTGGTAGAGCTCTTCCCTAGCAGCTGGGAAACTGGGAGGGAGAAATGTTAGGTTGAGGCGCCAGATGCAGGGCGAGCTCCCCAGAATGAGCAAGAGAAGGTGCCTCGTGGCTGTTTTAATTCCTGATGACAGCAGTGTGTGTGTTCACAGCACAAGTTTTGGGGTCAGGCAGCTATGGAGCCTTGGACAAGTTACTTGCCCTCCCTGATCTTGTATGTAATTGAGGACGCTTCCAGTGTGGATACCATGACAAAAAGAAGAGCCTTCTTGAGCACCAGGACCAGGCCTAGTACGCAGTCATGCTGGTCGGGCCCCGACATTCCTTTCTTTAGTCAATCTCCTGTGCAGGCCCTTTGCTCATTGTAGAAGATGGTCTGAGGACAGAGAGGCAGCGGGCACCAGCCAGAATGGAGTGTGGCTTATCCAGGACGGATGAGACCACACCCACCCCTGCAGGCACGTGCGTCCCTTCTGACAGCCAGTGCCCACCAGGCCTGAGGGAACAGCCCGACAAAAAAAAAAAAAAAAAAAAAAAAAACAAATTCCTGCCTGTAGCAGGTGACGGGGAGAGGAAGTCGAAGAGTTTAGGGGAAAGCGTCAATTTTTGAAATAAGTAAAATATACACACCAGCCACTAAGGAGTTATTCTTATGATTATTACTGATCCTGAGGCCAGGAAGGCCTCACTGAAGGGGACATTGAAGCAAACAACCCAGGAGCTTGTGGGAGCAGCACAGGCATCCTTAGAGGAGAGGAAACACATCTGGGATCACAGGAGCCAAAGAGACCCGCATCCCGAGGGCAGCAAGGGGCTCAGAAGTCGAGGGGGCAGTCCGGGAGAGCCCTGGTGAAGACAGTACTAGAGCCTCCGGGCAGCCCTTAGCTGTAAGCTAGCTGGGGCTGGTCAGGGAGAGGGCACAGTGGCCTACCCTATCATCCCTTGCCCCGCCTGAGCGACCCGTGGCCTCAGCCGTGTGGCCTTGGGAGCTGACACTTGGCCAGGACCCCACCCGCCATGTCCCCAACCCTGCATGGGCTACGGAGGCTTGTGGGAACTGCGCAGCTGCAGTAGAGCTGCGGAGAGGCACACACAGATGTCCCCGCTCCACTGCTCCTGGGGATGGGACCCTGCCCCCACACTGCCCTCCAGCCCCGATGGAATCTGGACCCAAATGGTGAGGAAGGAGTCCAGGGACAGACTGAGCTCCGGGACACACAGGACAGATGAGAGAGGACACATGCAAGAGCCGGGACCTAGGTGGGGGAGGCAGAGCTGTGGCCTCGGCCAGAGTGGGGGCGGGAGGGGTGTGCTGGGGGTCCCCACGTGCTGCAGCCTCCTAGCCACTGCTTCCTTTGCTTACCTTGAAATGCCCCCACTTAAAATATATATAAAGCCAGGAGCAGTGGCTTCTGCCCATAATCCCAGCACTGTGGGAGGCCGAGCAGGAGGATCACCTGAGCCCAGGAGTTCCAGACCAGTCTGGGCAACATGGCGAGACCCTATCTCTCCAAAAAATAAAATAGTCACTTTGGGAGGCCAAGGCAGGCAGATCACTTGAGGTCAAGTGTTCAATACCAGCCTGGCCAACATGGTAAAACTCTGTCTCTACTAAAAATACAAAAATTACATGGGCGTGGTGGTGCATGCCTGTAATCAAGGCAGAGACCATTTTCTTCACAGCCTCTTGGCAGTCAATCCCCCAACTCCAGAAACAACCACCGTTCTGATTTCTTTTCCCCGGAGATTTGGTTTTGGTTGAGACAAGCTCACTCTGATGCCCAGGCTGGAGTGCAATGGCACGATGGCAGCTCACTGCAGCCTCAACCTCTTCTGCGCAAGCGATCCTCCCACCTCAGCCTCCCAAAGTGCTGGGATTACTGGTGTGAGTCCTCGCACCAGGGGATGTTGTTAGTGTTAAAAATTTAAAACTGTTAGCAGCCAGGCGCAGTGGCTCATGCCTGTAATACCTGCTGCACTTTGGGAAGCCGAGTCGGGAGGATCCCTTGAGCTCAGGAGTTCAGTACCAGCCTGGGCAACATAGTTAGACCCTGCCTCTCAAAAAAAAAAAAAAAAAAAAAAAAAGCCAGGCATGGTAGCTGGTACCTGTAATCCCGACTACTGGGGAGCCTGAGGTAGGCGGATGGCTTGAGCCTGGGAGGGAAGGTTGTAGTGAGCTGAGATCATTCCACTGCACTCCAGCCTGAGGGACAGAGCCAGACCCTGTCTCCAAACAACAACAACAACAAAAAACGACAAAGAAAAACCGCTTTAAATTGTGGCAATACATGTAACAAAATTGACCATCGCACGATTTTTAAGTGTACCATTCAGCTCTAAGCACATCCACAGCCCTGTGCGGCCCCTCAGCTCGAGGAACTGAAACTCTATACCCTGCTCATCAATTAGCTTTCGGGTCCCAGAATTTCACGTGAACAGGACCCATGGTGATTCTGGAAGTCCGGCTCCTTTGGCTCAGCATCATGTCTTTGGAGTTCCCCCACGCTGTTGCAGACAGCAGCAGGCTCTTCATTTTCATTGCTGGAATGCACTAGTTTGTCCATCTGTTCTGTGGTTTTGATCTAATGTGAATAAAGCTGCTATGAACCTCCAAAGGCAAGTATTTATGTGGATGTGTGTTCATTTCTCTTGGGCAAACACCTAGGAGTAGGTCAGGTGCGGTGGCTCACACCTGTAATCCCAGCACTTTAGGAGGCCAAGGTGGGCAGATCACTTGAGGTCAGGAGTTCAAGACCAGCCTGGCCAACATGGTGAAACTAAAAATACAAAAATCAGCCAGGCGGGCTGACGCACGCCTATAATCCTAGCTATTTGGAAGGCTGAGGCAGGAGAATTGCTTGAACCCAGTAGGCAGAGGTTGCAGTGAGCTGAGATCAAGCCACTGCACTCCAGCCTGGGTAACAGAGCGGGACTCCGTCTCAAAACAAACAACCTCGCACACATCTAGGAGTAGAACAGTGGGTCGTAGGCTGAGGCTGTTCTTATGGAAACTGACAAACTGTTTTCCCAGTGGCCATCTACTTTTCCTTCATAGCAAAACAGGATCTGAGTCCTGCAGCCCCCCTGAGTGTCTGCCCTTATGGGAGCCACCTTCATAAAACTCCCTTGCCCCCTTCCAAAAAGCAGAGGACTTGGGGGCTGGGTTTACACAATGGGGTTGGAGGTAAGATCCTTCTCTTTATTTTTGAGACAGGGTCTCACTCTGTCACCCAGGCTGGAGTGCCGTGGCATGATCACAGCTCAGTGTGCAGTCTTGACCTCCCAGGTCCAGCCTCCCAGGTAGTAGCTGGGACTACAGGTGTGTGCCACCATGCCTGGATAATTTTTGTATTGTTTATAGAGACAGAATCTCCTTATGTTGCCCAGGCTGGTCTCAAACTTCTCAGCTCCAGTAAGCTGCCTGCCTCAGCTTCCCAAAGTGCCGGGATTATAGGTGTGAGCCACTATGCCTGGCTGGGACCCTTCTCGCAGCACCAGTGTGTGTGTCTAAAATTATCAAGTGGAGCCATTTAATTGTATGCTTCTTTGCCTAAACCTTTTCTGCTGGGTTTTGTCCCTGGCCAAGTGAGGTTGGGGGGAATGTTTTTGTTTTGTTTTGTTTTGAGACAGAGTCTTGCTCTATAGCCAAGGCTGGAGTGCAGTGGCTGGATCTTGGCTCGCTGCAACCTCCATCTCCCAGGTCCCGGTTCAAGCAATTCTTCTGCCTCAGCCTCCCGAGTAGTTGGGATTACAGGCGTGCACCATACCCAGCTAATTTTTGTATTTTTAGTAGAGACGGGGTTGTACCATGTTGGCCAGGCTGCTCTTCGATGCTGACCTTGTGATGCCTGCTCAGCCCTTGCGGAGATCAGTGACGGCTGCCCAGATGAGAACCAATGGGGCTGTTTATTCAGAGCTTGCCACTGCAAGCTTGCAGTGACGAAATGCCAAGGTCGGCAGGAGAGAGGGAAAGCTTCATGGAGGGAAGGGGACAGCTCCCGTGTCCTGGCTCGTGGCTGCTGGTGTGGGGAAGTGGGAGGCAGGCTGCTGCAGTCTGTGTTTGTCCCACTGACACTTGTATTGAAATGTTATTAGTTTTCTGGTTTTGTTTCTGAGTCAGGGTCTTGCTTTGTTGGTCCAGGTTGGAACGCAGTGGTGCGATCACAGCTTACTATAGCCTTTACCTCCTAGGAGGAAGCGATTCTCCCATCTCAGCCTCCTGAGTAGCTGGGACCACAGGTGCACGCCCCCATCCTGGCTGATTATTTATTTTTGTAGAGATGCAGTTTCGCCATGTTGCCCAGGCTGGTCTTGAATTCCTGGACTCAAGTGATCCCGGAGCCTTGACCTCCCAAAGCGCAGGAATTACAGGTGTAACTGCACCTGGCCTCATTGTTTGTATTAATAGGTAGGACCTATAAGTGGTGATAAATGGGCTCTGCTTCCCAGGTACGTCTTTTTGGTTTTTTTTGTTTTGTTTTGTTTTGTTTTTTGAGACGGAGTTTCGCTCTTGTTGCCCAGGCTGGAGTGCAGTGGTGCAATCTCGGCTCACGACAACCTCTGCCTCCCACATTCAAGCAATTCTCCTGCCTCAGCCTCACGAGTAGCTGGGATCACAGGTGCACACCACCACACCCAGCTAATTTTGTATTTTTAGTAGAGATGGGGTTTCTGGCCATGCTGGTCTCAAACTCCCGACCTCAGGTGATCCGCCCACCTCAGCCTCCCACAGTGCTGGAACTATAGGCATGAGCCACTGTTCCCAGGTGGGATTAATGCCATTATATTAATAAAAGGTGAGAACCCCAGTCTCGTTTCTCTTTGCTCTTCTACCTTCCACCAGCTGAAGACACAGAGCTCAAGACAACAGCCTGGGGTCAGAATCGCCAGCCCTGCCTCTGGAGGTTGAACTGGCAGCCTTCAGAACTGAGAAAATACATTTCTGTCCACCGTAAATGGAGCAGTCTGGGGTATTCTGTCTGGGGGTCACACAGGGCCTCATATGCAGCTGAGCTCCGAGTGGGTGTCTTCTGTGGTTGTCCAGGCGTGTGGGGCTCCTCAGGGCTGGCTCTTGGTGCCCTGGGCTGGTTGCTGCACGGTGGGCAGAGCTCTCTTCTCGGCGGTCTGGCCCCGGTTGGTGCGTGTATTCAGTCTCTCTCCTTCTACGCCATGTTTCGTGGCACAGGCGTGGGCACCAGGAGCTGCAAAGGGCTGAGGCCGTTTCTCAGTCATAGGCAGGATCTGTTCTTGGAGGTGGTGGGGATGGGTGGGGTGGGGTCTGCGGAGAATTAGCATCCTCTTGTGAGGCCACCACCCTGGTTGTCACTGGGAGCTCTGATGGAGAGGAAGGTCTGCTCCCTCAGACACAGAAAGGGCTGCGCGTGTCGTCAAGGGAGGCTTGGGGAGATTTGGGTTTGGGGTTCTTTCCCCTTGCTCCGTCTGCCCCAAAGCCCTCACTGTGTGTCTCAGGTACCCATGCCTGCTGTGCTGTGCAGTCCGTAGCGTAGGGAGCATGGCAGGGTTGATCATCACATATTTAACAATTTTTTTTAGAGACAGTGTCTTACTCTGTTGCCCAAGCTGCAGTGCAGTGGCATGATCTCAGCTCACTGCAACCTCCGCCTCCTGGGTTTAAGTGATTCTCCTGCCTCAGCCTCCCAAGTAGCTGGAATTACAAGTGTATGCACCATACCTAGCTAATTTTTGTGTTTTTCGTAGAAATGGGGTTTCACCATGTTGGCCAGGCTGGTCTCGAACTCCTCACCTCAGGTGATCTGCCTGCCTGGCCTCCCAAAGTGCTGGGATTTTGGGCGCAAGCCACCATGCCTGTCCTGACAGTCCTGCACCTCCAGCCCCAAGAGGCCCCTGGCTTGTCCTCGGCCATGTCTGTCCCGTGGCCCCAGGAAACGGGGCCTCCTCCAATGCTGCCTCCAAGGCCTTCTGATTGTCAGCCATGCCCTAGGCTGAATATTCCTTTCCTTTAACTTCTCCTTTTCCCCAAATTTGCTCTCCACGGCCAGTGAAGGAAGGCTTCTGACTCTACAATACTTGACAGCTGTACTGAGCTGTTATGAGCTGTTATGTATAATTCACATACCATACAATTCACCCATGTAAAGCGTGCAATTCGATGGATTTGGGTTTATTCCACTGATTATATTTAATTGTGGTAAAATATATGTAACATAAAATTTGCCATTTTAACCAGTTTTAAGTATACAATTAGTGGCACTAATTACACTCTACAGTATTAATTACACTCTACAGTACTCATTTCATTCATAATATTGTTCAGCTGTTTCCAAAATTCTGTATCCAGTCAACAACAATGCTTCCTTCCTCTCTCCCCTCAGCACCTATGGGCCTCTAGCCTAGTTTTTGTCTCTGTGAATTTGCCTATTAGGAACATTTCTTATATTAGCTGGGTGTGGTGGTGCACACCTGTAATCCCAGCTACTTGGGAGGCTGAGGCAGGAGAATCGCTTGAACCCGGCAGGTGGAGGTTACAGTGAGCTGAGATCGTGCCACTGCACTCCAGCTTAGGTGACAGAATCAGACTCTATCAAAAATAAAATAAAATTAAATTAAAAGATAAGACACTCCAAATCAGCCGGGTGTGGTGGCTTACTAAAAAATTAAACAACAAAAGAATGTTTCATATAAATGGAGTGATACAATACTTGTTTTTGTATTGCTTATTTCATGTAGCATACTGCGATGAAGAACCATCCATGTTTTGGCATATATCAGTACCTGATTCACTTTGATTTGCTTTTGTTTTTGTGTTTGAGACAGGGTCTCCCTCTGTTGCCCCGGCTGGAGTGCAGTGGCACAAACACAGCTCACTTCAGCCTTGACCACCTGGGCTCAAGCAGTCCTCCTGCCTCAGACTCCCATGTAGCTGGGACCACAGGCATGCACCCCACACCCAGCTCATTTAAAAAAAAAAATTGTAGAGATGGGGTCTTGCTTTGTTGCCCTGGCTGGTCTCAAACTCCTGGGCCTCAAATGATCCTCCCCTCTTGGCCTCCCAAAGTGCAAAGACTGCAGGTGTGAGCCCCTGCAACCAGCCTGCCTCATTCCTTTTCATGACTGAATAATAGTCAGTGGTGTGGATCGCTCATATTTTATTTACACGTTCGTCGGCTGACGGACAGCAGGGGTGCTTTCTGTCTTTTGGCTGTTGTGAGTCGTGCTGCTGTGCACACTGGTGTGCAGCGTCTGCTTAAGCCCTGGCTTTTCTTTTGGGGACTATACCCCAGGAGTGGAATTGCTGAATCATGAGGTAACTCTATCTTTGTTTCTTTTTTCTTTTTTTTTTTTTTTGAGATGGAGTTTCACTCTTGTTACCCAGGCTGGAGTGCAATGGCGTGATCTCGTCTCACCACAACCTCCGCCTCCTGGGTTCAGGCAATTCTCCTGCCTCAGCCTCCTGAGTAGCTGGGATTACAGGCACACGCCACCATGCCCAGCTAATTTTTTTGTATTTTTAGTAGAGACGGGGTTTCACCCTGTTGACCAGGATGGTCTCGACCTCTTGACCTCGTGATCCACCCGCCTCGGCCTCCCAAAGTGTTGGGATTACAGGCGTAAGCCACTGCGCCCGGCCTACCTTTGTTTCTTTTGTGGAATTGCTGAACTGTTTTCTTTGTACTTTTTGTTACTTTTTTTTTTTTTTTTTGAGATGGAGTTTCACTCTTGTTACCCAGGCTCGAGTGCAATGGCACGATCTCGGCTCACCGCAACCTCCGCCTCCTGAGTTCAGGCAATTCTCCTGCCTCAGCCTCCTGAGTAGCTGGGATTATAGGCACGCACCACCATGCCCAGCTAATTTTTTGTATTTTTAGTAGAGACGGGGTTTCACCATGTTGACCAGGATGGTCTCGATCTCTTGACCTCGTGATCCACCCGCCTCGGCCTCCCAAAGTGCTGGGATTACAGGCTTGAGCCACTGCACCCGGCCTTTTTTTTTTTTTTTTTTTTTTTTTGAGACAAGGCCTTGCTCTGTTGACCAGGCTGGATCTCGGCTCACTGCAGCCTCGACCTCTCAGCCTCAAGTGATCCTCCAACTTCAGCCTCCTGAGTAGCCGGGACTACAGGCACACACCACCATGCCCAGCGTGTTGTTTTATTTTTTAATTTTTTTTTTTTTTTTTTTTGAGAAGGGGTCTCACTATGTTGCCCAGCTGGTCTCAAACTCCTCAGCTCAAGTGTTCCACCCGCCTTGGCCTCCCAAAGTGCCAGGATTATAGGCGTGAGCCACCTCACCCAGCCATGCCAAACAGTTTTCCATAACAGCTTCACCGTGTTACGTTCCCAGCAACTGCATGAGGGTTCCGGTTTTTCTACATCCTCACCAACAATTGTTATTTTTTGTTTTTTAACTTGTAGCTATCAGCCAGGTGCAGTGGTTCACGCCTGTAAACCCAGCACTTTGGAGGCTGAGGCAGGTGGGTCACCTGAGGTCAGGAATTTAAGACCAACCTGGCCAACATGGTGAAACCCTGTCCCTACTAAAAATATAAAAATTTAGCCAGGCCTGGTGGCACACGTCTGTAATCCCAGCTACTCTGGGGGCTAAGGCAGGAGAGTCACTTGAATGCAGGAGGCAGAGGTTGTGGTGAGCTGAGATCATACCACTGCATTCTACCCTGGGCGACAGAGTGGGATTGTGTCTCAAAAAAAAAAAAAATTGTAGCTATCCTGGTAGGTGTGAAGCATATCTCTCTCTGTGTGTGTGGTTTTGCTTTCTTTCTTTCTTTCTTTTTTTTTTTTGAGATGGAGTCTCGCTCTGTCACCAGCCTGGAGTGCAGTGATGTGATCTCAGCTCCCAAGGTCAAGCGATTCTCCTGCCTCAGCCTCTCGAGTAGCTGGGACTACAGGTACACACCACCATGCCTGGTTAATTTTTGTATTTTTGGTAGAGGTGGGTTTCACCATGTTGGCCAGGCTGGTCTCCAACTCCTGACCTTGTGATCCACCTGCCTCAGCCTCCCAAAGTGCTGGGATTAAGGCATGAGCCACTTCACCTGGCCTAGCTTTTTTTTTTTTTGTATTTTAGTAGAGATGCAGTTTCACCATGTTGGCCAGGATGGTCTCAAACTCCTGACCTCATGATCCACTTGCCTCCGCTTCCCAAAGTGCTGGCATTACAGGCATGAGCCACCACGCCCAGCCTGGTTTTGCTTCCTGTCTCTATCAGTGGTGCCCTGGGCTATCTATCTTTTCATGGCTTATTGGCCCTGGCGTGGCCCCACAGTAATGACAACCACCCCTCACTCTGTAGGACTCAGTGCAGCACTTCTGCCAGTGCCACGTCCAACGCCAACTCAAGTGACTGTGACGCCGCTGCATGGTGTGGCCCACCCGGGTCTCATCTTCCCTGGTAACAGGTGATCCATGGACTCCTCATATAGGAGACCCCAGAATACCATGTGCAGTGGCCCTGGGGCCTCAGTTTCTGTGTCAGTCATGGGCTGGGCTGAAACATATGATACACTCGAAGCGGGTCATTAGAATGAAGTGTTCACAGAGGGCATTTTTACAAAAGCACCAGCAGGGTTTAACAAGCGAAGGTGCCTCGCACCTAGCTAGCCTCGCCGGGACACACCTAGAGCCAGCGTGACAGGGAGGGTGGCAGCTCTGGATGTGGCCAGCGCAGCCGTGTGGGGAGGGCTGCCTGGAAGGGGCTGTGGTCTCTGCAGAGGAAGCAGCCAGAGAAGCCAATGCTGGCCTCTTCCCTCCTCAGACCCTCTCCAGGGTTGCTCCTGAGACCTGCTGAGCAGCCTCACTGCTGAGGGTCCGTCTCCTGGAAGACAGAACATGGAGAAGGGAGGAGGATGGGAACCGAGCAGGGAATGGAAGACCCCCGCACCTCATCGTGGGGCCTTCGCATCACTTACAGTGCTTTTTGGTGACCACCTGGGGTGTTGCTGGTCACTATGTTGAGTGAGACCCCGTCTCTACAAAAAATTTAAAAGTTAGCCAAGTGTGGTGGCTCATAGCTGTAATCCCAGCTGCTTGGGAGGCTGAGATGGGGGGATCACTTGAGGATTGCTTGAGGCCAGGGGTTCTCAAGCAGCCTGGCAACATAGTGAGGCCCCATCTCTACAATAAACAAGAAAATGAGCTGGGTGTGGTGGCATGTACCTGTGGTCCCAGTAGCTGGGAGGCTGGGGAGGCTGAGGTGAGAGGATCACTTGGGCCCAGGAGTTTGAGGCTGCAGGGAGCGGTGATTGCATCACTGCACTCCGGCCTGGGCGACAGAGCCGGAGTGAACCTGTCTCAAAAAACAACAACAAAAATATGCTTTTCGGCTGGGCATGGTGGCTCACGCCTGTAATCCCAGCACTTTGGGAGGCCAAGGCAGATGGATCAGTTGAAGTCAGGAGTTCGAGATCACCCTGGCCAACATGGCCAAACCCTGTCTCTACTAAAAACACAAAAATTAGCCGGGTGTAGTGGTGCTCGCCTACAATCTCAGCTGCTTCGGAGGCTGAGGCAGGAGAATCACTTGAACCCAGGAGGTGGAGGTTGCAGTGAGCTGGGATCACGCCACTGCACTCCAGCGTGGATGACAGAGCGAGACTCTGTCTCAAAAAAAAAAAGCAACATTGTTAATGTGAACTTGTTTTCTTTTGATGTTTTGTCATTGAGTACAGTGGCTCACACCTGAAATCCCAGAACTTTAGGAGGCTGAGGCGGGTGGATCATGAGGTCTGGAGTTCTAGACCAGCCTGACCAAAATGGTGAAACCCCGCCTCTACTAAAAATACAAAGTTAGCTGGGTGTGGTGGCACACGCCTGTAATCCCAACTACTCAGGAGGCTGAGGCAGGAGAATCGCTTGAACCCA